AAAGGCTATCTCTCGATGTAAGATATCCCTATATTCTTCCTCGTTATTCCCAGGCCCTGTCTCTCTCAGCTTCCTCTACAGTTATCAGAGATGCGCACTGAACCGCAAGAACCTCAACATCCTGAGGAATTACAGTCATCATCATCATCATGTTCAGCTTCTACAACTCAACATCAGCAAGGGAATGATACAGCTCCTCAACTGAGTCATCCAGCGCATCATCATCATCACCACACCATAGCAGGAGCCGTGAGGTTTGCGTCCAGTTGTGTGATAGACGATGATAACGTCACAAGAAGAGCTGCTACTTTGGTGGCATCCAGAGGTTTCGGCTTCGATGAAGTATCTCGAATAGATAGGATAGGGAAGTGGGCTACTCCTTCCATTCAGCCCTCGACTCATCCAGTGTTCTCTCATTATCCCAGGTATCGTTCTGTGGACACCCTCTCGATAGCTACTTCATCATTATCACCAACCTGCCGACCCCACATAGCTACTCTAGATGATCTTAGCGGCACTATGGATGGCCAGTCCCTGCAGAGAGATCGTTGGCAGACTAGAAGGAGCATTAGTCCGACTGGGAGCAGCTATCAGGGGTCGTAGATCCTTAGAAGAGTAGCTCTTTGGCCGGTATGGTCATTGAGTGGGTTTTGGTGTATTAAGAAGAGTATGAAGTAATTCATTGAGTGTTGTTACCACCATGGCTGAGCATGATTAGTTTAATTAGTCTGACTCTGTCTCGATCAAGAGTTTTGGGTTCAGTTATCATCACAACTGCGATCTCATCACCATACCAACGATATGATGACGTAGTTTCGTTCTATCACTCTCCATCGTGCTGTGCCAATGGCTGTGGGAGATATATTCCTCAATAGATAGCAATGATCCCGGTGGTCGTGGCAACCTATATGCATGCATCGCCGAGACTTAGATCTCAACTATTACAGAGTCTTCGAGTCTCGTATTCGATGATGAGACTCGAGAGTTGTCCGTGTTGACACACATGATCAACTGATGATCAACATGGCACATGCTATCCTGCTGAGTTGATGCACTCCTTTGCATCTATGATTCCTACATTGGAGTAGTTTTTGCAGTGTATAGTCTAGGTGAATATGACGGTGTGCTACTGCTCATAGCACCACCATCAGAACGGCAGCAGCGCCAGCAGTGGCAGCCTCCTGCTGTCCCTGCCTCCAGTTCACAGTCTTCCGCACCTTCATCGCTTCCTTTCAATGGCGGTGGAGGAGCTGTCAGGGCTGAGTCATTGATGATGAAGCTATAAGCGCCCACCGTTGAAATAGTTGCTACACTGGTGACTACAACCGACCCATAAGGCTATCAGCCCACACACTAAGGATGCCGCAAGAATGTCCAGACTGTGAGAACCAAACGGACCTCCTACAGACGTTTCACACCTTGAAGACTTCAAGGTTGAGATACTCAACTTGAGGATTATTCTTTCGGGATTAAGTATTATCGTATAGGGCATACCTCTCACCCTCGTACTCTGCGAACGATTACTCCAATTGTTTGTTGAGTTTGCAGCCGGAAGTTACAGGAGTTCGTAACAACTGCAATAGCCTGACTCGAACACGATATCTTAACAATGACAACAAGCAGCATTAATCATGATGACACTGACAACAACCATAACAGCATACAACATCATAATGAATCTATACTCAATTATCCTCGTCCCCTGATGAGAGTAGTCCATGAGAAAGGTGATGATGCATGCACAACCTACATCAAGCGTTCCCTTTCCTCATCACCGTCATCAGTAGTCGAGCTATTTCCGCCACCAATAAGGCTGACGACTGTTGACGCAGCCAGAAGCACAAATACGATCTGAAAGGGTTATGAACTGTATAAGATACTGTTAATCAAAACATACCCAGGAAGCGGCGCATAGCCACTGGACTAATTGTCCTATCTCCCAGCTAAGCTGGGCATTCAGCCGACACCAAAGTCCGTCCTAAGGCAGTATTAAGGCGATAGGAGATGTATCGATTAACCCTACGGCTTGACTTAAGGCTGGTGTATCAGACATACAGTACTCCCACTCCTCGAGGTGTTGAACGGTCTCGGGCTCTCGAGCTAAGCGAATCAGCTCACGGAAGGTCTAAGGAGAAGAACTCCTTGGCCTACTAGATGAAGGAAGACTCTACCTGAAACTCCTTGCAGTAGGGCCGTATGAACATCTTAGTAGCCTTATCATAGCCACCATCACGACAGTCACCCTCACTATACGATCTGGTGAATGAGTTGAAAAGGTCATCTACCAGATCCTGGGCGTAACGATCTCTAGATGGCACCAAGGTGATCTCCCCCCGATCGAGTCTTAGCTTATAGAATGTGATAGACCAATGACAGAGGGCCACGGCAATGACCAACCAACATACGGTCATGATGGCAGAGAACCCTCCATGGAGGAAGCGGAATGAGTCGGCTTTAGTGTTCGCAGCAGCAAAGCTAATACCAGACAGGCTGAGCATGAGGATGAGGACCGAGCTGATGGTGGTGGAGTCAATACGGAGGGCCCCGAAGAACTCGTAATATAAGGGGTTGTAGGTGATGACGGTGTAGGTAATTATCAGTGCTACTGCGAAGAGGATGAGTAGACCATTAATTCCCATATAAATAGGGTTGAATACTCCGTTGAGGTAAGGCATTAAGACGAATGGATGAAGATAATAATGATGGCCTAACACGACGAGTAGGTGATATCTCTAGAAGATCCGAGTTCATCAATTCATGTCGCCTACCATGGAAATAAACAAAGAGCGCTGTCATTTTAGCGCTCGCCCTAAAATTTGTCAGCCCTCGGAAACGGTGTGACTACTTGTGTAGTGGAGCCCCTGAGCTCTACTACCGTATATGTTTGACATCTGGAGCCGATTATACCTTCTCCATAAGATGGCCTCTTATAGATGTACTCTTTGGAGGCATTCTTTGACCAGAAACTGAATTTGAAAGCAATTGTTCCTCGAGTGGCCGAGGGCTGACGACAGTTGCTCGTAATCCCAAGCGAGTCATTGATCGCTAGCTGCCTTTTGCCCGACCCGGGTTATATTACGGTGTAAACTATACAGTCTCTAGCATACATCTCTATAGAACATGAATCACTGTACGCAAAAGTCGGTTATACGGACTCAGTACACCTTACGATACACCTTCCCTCGAACACCGCTTATTCGCGAGTATTCGATTCCCTAAGGTTGGTGATAGTACTATGGCAACTCCTCTGCCTAAGAGAACTTATGATAGAGGCAGTCTATTGGGTAGTACCTAGTATATGATGACCTAGTGTCCACAGGTCATCAGGTGAGGGTAGTTTTGGTGCTGTTTTAACTGTCTATGAAGCTGACTCTGGTGAGGAATATGCTGCCAAGAGGTTTGAAGTAGGCCTCTTCAATGAATGATACGCTAAATGCAGCCTCTCTGTTGTAGTTAAATGAAGATGATGGTTGCACTCTAAGTAGTGGTGCGCTCATAGAAGTATCCTTTCTTAGTGCTATAAGAATGGCTAAGCTGGATCGGAAAGGGATTATACGTCTGGTGATGCGATTGGCTCTTGTTGTGCTGTCGTAGTAGAAGGAGACCTTAGGTAGACATATGTGAACTCACTGAAGAAGGGGAGAATATCCTATGTGCAGTGATACCTAAATATAACTGCAGTCTGGAAGATGCCATAGAAGGTAGGTCAAGGAGAACAGTGATCACTCCATCTATCAGTTCTCTACTCTGTTGTAGGAGGTGCGCTTACTTCTAATTCGGTTAGACTATCGGTTGCCATATCACTACTTGGAACACTGGCATTACTACATAGTAATGGTGTGGTCCATAGAGACATGAAGAGCGCCAATGTGATGTTAACTGGATCTCTCCAACCTGTACGTATGTCCATCCATGAGACAGTGAACTTCTATTGAGAGAAGGTTCTAATCGACTTCTCGCTTGCCAAGTACATGCCAGAGGGTAACATCTCGACGGAGCGATGTTCAACATCAACAGGAGAAACACTGCATACGGGGTCAATCGGGACACCAACATATATGGCACCAGAATTGGTCAATGCTAATGGGGGAGTCCTGAGGTCTGGTACAAGTGTGAATGGTAACGATGGAAAATATAGTTCTAGTTACGACAGGCGGGTAGATAGCTGGTCAGTTGGGGTGGTCCTACTTGAAATATTTACGGGTAATGTTGGATGCCGCGGATCCGCAATGCTAGTGGGGACTTGCTAGGGAAGGTGATGAGTGAGTCTAAAGATAGAGCAGCCTTTATGATGATCAATGAGGCTAAGGCACGTATGTCTGACAAGCCTGTCCCTGCCATCATCAAAGGTTTACTAGAGGTGATACACTACTATGCATATAGGGAGATGAGTCGTGATGGTGGTAGGTGGACCCCAGTAAGAGGTTGACCTGTTGCGATGCATATTACAGACTTAACAAACATAAGGGTAAGGAGAACTCTATCATTGATGACGCAAGTACGGCAAAACCGTTTGGGGTGTTGCAGCTCTCATACATCCTCCTTTTCTTGTAGTGCATGTGAAGCCTTTGAAGGATTATTTCGGCAACTACGACATCCTAGGTGATACCAGTACATTACAGGAGCTTAGACGATTCTATCACCTATTGGAGATGACCAACCCAACTACTATCAAGGCAGCTCTGTCCGTCGATCATCATACGCTACCTGACCCCAACGATAGTCCTTTAATATAGTTACTATCATTCATCGCTCATCAGTACATCACCAAAGGGTGGTGTTATTCCATCACCACTCCACCTACTAATATTAGCACAGAAGATCTACGAGCCTCAAACCATTGGTAGCCTCCTGTCTGGACTAACTGCTTGGGCCCAATCTTGGTGGCTTAGACCTCATCAACATTGACGATTTCGATGAAGATGATCCTTATCTTTCTGATTTCGATATCGATGATTATATGAGTGACGAGATGCGTATCATGGAGGTCGTGGGATGGTATGTCGTCTTCTCCATTACTCCAACTACCATGCTCCACTACCCTGACCGTAGGTGTGCTTTTGTACAGCCTGTATCGAGTCAGGCAGAGGTGGATCGTTTGGTTGGTAATGCAGTGAGTAAGAGATCTCTGAAAGGTGACTACTCTCGATTACCAAGACTGTTGATGGGATGGAAGGCCCCTGGCAGGTAAGAGGAAAAGGAAGGCAGAAAAACAAATTGAGAAGAGGCGAAAGCACGCAACGAGAGCTCAATACGGAGGAGACACCGTCGATAGTGATGATGATTAATGCATGGTATTTCTCTACAATAAATGCAGTACTTTCATTCATGCCTGATTACTCTCGAGTTGATTGCGCCACGAAGGGTTGCCGATAGTTGGTATCATCCCTATATCGTAGCGTCAATATTTCCTACCTTGATCATCATAGATTCACTCTACCTATAAGAACCCAATTGTTAACATTCGACAGCGAGAAGGATATCACCACCAATGCCAGAGTGGTCTCCAATAAGTCCCTAGAACCTTTCCCACAACTGTGGTGGTACCATACTGCTCAACTGGACTATACCTGCTACAGTTTTGTTTGTTCAAACTACTACTGCCAAAGGCTGAGTAACACTTGGATGATCATCTTGCATTTCTTGCACTTCCTCAATCTCGCCCCCCCCCATACATTGAAAGTCGTATCGGTCCATTATAATGGTGCCTAGTGGTCCTCTATTCACTCTACGACCTCGTGACTCGATATCGGCAGTTAACGATGTAGTAGCTGTTGGTGACGGAGGTAGTATAGCGAGTGGTAGTAGTGATGGGTATCTACGGCTTTGGGATATGGTAATACTCACGTCATCCATCCTACTATTGTGGAGGATCTTAGTAGGTCACAAGGAGACCATCTGTCTCTATCAGTACCGGAGTTGATCCTGTAATCGGCCTGGTCGAACCAACAGGGGTGGAGGATAGCCATAGAATAGGAGTGCAGACTAAAGCAAAGACTCTATCACTTTGGGATGTGGCCCATCAATCAGGTAAAGGTAGTAGTCGTCACACTCATCAACATCAACAACACCACATAGTCCTACAGCCCCGATCTGGTCCATCCCTATACCTAAGGCGTACACCTTCTGTAAGGCGGTGCCACTGAGGGATTCCACTATAGCATGCCCTCTCACCGAAAGCGATATAGGAATAATCGATTCTCGCACAGGGGTTGTTGCTGGTGTATTACAGTAATAATAATATCATATTCTAGTCGCCTATGGTAAATTAGGGCACCGACCTCTAGTGAGGGCTCAACCACTACCCCCAAAGGAGCAGGATCAGCGGTAGCGGTTCGGCAGTTGGACGATGAAGGAGGCAACGGAGTGGTCGTAGTGTATGAATCTGGACGTAGGGAAGTGGCCGCCCTCTTTGGTATGTTTGATGATATCCATCAATAGGCGTAGCGCTATTCGATACTCGACGCCTTGATCATCCTTGTGCCGAGAGCCATCCCCATGAGATGAAGAAGGCTAGGGGTGGTAGTGGTAGTACAGTAACCTGTATGGAGAGGTTGGCCAATGAACTCTGGGTCGGCACATCCAACAGTTATATATCTATGCTTGCAGCTGGGAGGGTGGACGAGGAATACTCCATTGAAGAGGTAACCCCATCCCGGTACTATGATGATATTGATCCCTAGGTTGGCATGGGCAATAGCAACAACTTCTTGCATGTTGAAGAGGCTAGTGTCGGTATTGGAAGTATGGCTGTAAGGAGTGACCTACGTTTGCTCGCTGCTGGCCTCTGGGACGGCCGCATTATCCTAATAGATGTTAAGACACGTGATACCTAACCATAACAAGAGGCTGTCACATCTACAGTCACCATCTACAGGTACGCTCTTAGGAGATCTCCCTCGATCCCACGACGCCAGCATCACCAAAGTTACTTTTCTACCAGATAACCGTTTTGTAGCGGCTAGTACTGATGGACGCTTATCGGTTTGGAATACTTATCAAGACACTGTTGTATGATACCTACCATTACCAACATCTAATTCGATTTCCTCTAGTTGTAGTACCTTCCTAGTTCCGAGTTGGTTGGTATTCTCCAGTTCAGTCCAATCAGTTTGGTTGTTCCTCCCCTCCCCCGTGATACGTCATCATGGCTGTCGGTCCATTGGCTCGGTACCATACTCCTTATGAGAGGCGTAGTTGCTGATTACTATATTGTGGTCAGGTTGGTGACTCGAATAGCGTCAGTAGCCGGTAATATGGTAGGGAGAGCTGTCGTGAGTGCATACAGGGATGCTGCTAAGCAAGCCGCACAGGCAGCAACGATGGCGTAATGCTTGCTGCCCTCGTCATTATGATGATACAACCGCTTAGGGCTGCTAAACGGAAGATGCCAGTCGAAGAGGCTCATAAGATATTAGGGATAGACAGCGCTGAGATACATAATGCTGAGGCTAGGGATATCCTAGCAGAGGTAGAATGATGTTTGGTCGTGGTAGGGATGTGTATGGTTCTGGGTATCAGCATTACAAGAAACTATATGATTTGAATAACCCCAACCCCCCTGATTTCTATGGCAGTCCTTATTTACAGTCTAGGGTGGAGCATGCGTATAAGGTAGTAATAGTATAGATATACTAGTCTGGTGATGTGCTGAAGGGACGTGCTTTAGGTGGCATTGCAGGAGATACAGAAAGGTAACAAAGCTGATGCCAAGGTTAAGAGTACATAAGGTGGCTATGACCCATCCAATGCGCTCATTTTTCCATCCTCCCTGCTGCCAACATCTCCCTATTGTTTCTCATCATTCACTATACTGTACATATCCTCCCCTTTTATACATACCAGAACGCGTGTATTATTTTCCTATGCCGAGAATGCTCGCGTTGAAGTTGGGATTGAGCTGATTGCTAACTCCAATGTGATGAGTGCCTTTTGTGGCCTGTTGAGCTCTGGGGAGGAGCAGGTATCCTAGTCGGAACGGTTGTATCGGGTATGCAGGGTGGTATGGCCCTGTGTATGCAAACACCCTGTATATAGATAGGGTGTGGGGTATAGTTGTGAATTCACTTATATCAGTACTGGCTAGGAGATGGACAGGATTTAACGCGATACTGAAGGCTTTCTTTAGCACATTACATCTCTACTAGTGATACTCGTTGCAATCTTTATCGCTCTGGGCCCCAGAGTCTGGGGCATGTTGGACATTAAGACGGCAAGCAGGAGGTATGCAGAGTATAACTCGTCAGCATGTGTTGGGTGCGGGGAGTGTGGCAGTGATGCTCTCGAGGTTTCAAACCCGGGGTCGATATCTGTACCATACCTTCTTCTTGGGCTTCCCTACCAACTACTATCCTCAGTATCTGCTCAACATCACTACCAACATGGGTTCGGGCTATGTGATAATCTCACTAACTGACATGGAATCCTTTCATGAGCTCTTCAACATATATAGTGTTACTGCACTACCCACACAACTGTTGTGTTGTGCATGATGATTAGTTGTAGTCTTCTTATACAG